TTGTGTGCCTTTCTGCTTCAGGCTCTTCTTCCTGCAGTATTTGGAATTCTCCATCTGTTTACAAGTGCACACGTATTCTGTTCCATGTGAAGCTCAGAAGACACCAGCACTCAAAAGTTGAGCATCTTCTCACATATTCTGTGTGCTGTCCTTGTTAAGAGTTAATACGCTGAAAAAAAGCTTGGCTCTGTGCTATAACTTTGTGTGCCTTTCTGCTTCAGGCTCTTCTTCCTGCAGTATTTGGAATTCTCCATCTGTTTACAAGTGCACACGTATTCTGTTCCATTTTTTTTGCAGGATGTTCCCCAAATACCAGTAGTCTTGTCAAGAGCTAATTCTGGATCTCCAGATTCAAAGCACTATGCAGTATTTGAGATGGGGCTCAGTTAAGTCACTTTATGCCCACAAATTGCATGATTTGCTCTTCAGCTTCACATCCATCAAATTTTTCTATCACTTAACTCACTTTTTGTATCCTCAGCTTAAAAGGCCCTTTCCAAGTTTTAGTTTATTTTGGATAACAGTAATCATGTTTTCCTGATATTTAGAGTTAACTTCCTCTGGGTAAAATGAAAAACATTAAACATTGCAAGAGCATCAGAATTTGTGAATGCCAGAAATAAAACTACCTTCTGGTCTTCTTTCTTACTAATATCCACTGCTATCAGATCCAGGGCAATACGATCCTTACTCTTTCTAAGGAACTTCAGCTCCAACCAATTTCATGTTCTTCTAAGTTCTTTAACCTCCGTATAACTCCTGGAGCCATATGGAATTCAGAGATCACCCTACACCCAAGCAGGTTGAAAACATATCCTCTTTATTTATGCAGCTCCACCTATGCTTTCAAAATAGGCTGCAAAATTTATTCTTACTCCATATTTGAAGTCCTTTCCCCAAACTTCCCATCTCTGAAGCACAAATATTTCCAGACAATTCCCAGTACTACTGCTACCTGTACCACTCCAAGCTAGAAATCTGCTAAAAGCAATTCCTTCCCTTCCCTGTATGCTACAGATAAATTCCAGAGAATTAGCTTTGCAAAAATATCCAGAGTTATTAGGTTTGGAAAAAAGAAAAAAAACAAACCCAACAAACCACAAAGACAAGTGGAAGCTTATGCATACCACTCTTGTTAAAAGTCAACACAGCGAAAGAGCTTTTTAAGCCTCAGTTTGAAAAACAAACTTGTTCTTTAGGAAAGCCAGGTTTCCATCTGAAATGCTAAGCAGATCAATCTTAAGGCAGTGAATAGAAAGAGCATGAACCTCTAGCTCACAACTCTACCCTATTTGATGACAATTCACTACTTGCACTCCATTTCTGAGCACAATTCATAACTGTCAAATCACATCAGCCCTGACCCATAGGACTCTGCCCAATCTCTGAAATATTAGGAGCAAGATTGATACAGACAATGCACACTTGTATAACCAAGGTGCTCCTTAGCACAGTCCACAAGCGCTGTAGTTCTCGGAGACAGTATTTCTCTCCAGCTCTGGAAATTACATCAGCAGCCAGTGGTTTTCTAGGTGCAATTTAATGTATTACAGTTTCATGTAACAAAACTAATTAATTGCATCTTCAAAACCTCTGTTTGAACAGCAAGATGGAGGAACCTCTCTGAGGAACAGAAACCTGCCTTCCACTGACTGCTAGTCAAGGATGTGGAGGAAGAATCTTTCCATTTTAATTGGAAGCAGAAATAATCACTGCACTTCACTCCTCAGCAGGTTGCCACACTTGCGCATTGACTTACAGGCCATATTGCCAAGCCCTGCTCTCCCGGTTCATCGATTGCAAATCAAAAGGTGTCAGGGAAGGAAAGAACAATCGTAAGACAACTTAAGAAGAATTTTCATAGAATCCGATATAGCATTTCTCTTCAATTTCTCTCTTGGGAGTTTTGTGAGTAATGTAAAATTAAAATATCCACAAAGCATTGCTTCGGAACATGGCTATGCCTTATTTTTAATTAAGAAGTTGAGTAACAATTGCTTTGCATTACAAGCTGTTGGCACAGAGGCAACACGGATGCTTTCTGATTCTCTCTAATGTGCACATTAAATTAGAGATTGAAGAATACAGTTTCACCAGGTTTCCTAAACCTTTTTCTACTGCATGCTGGCCAAGCTGAAAACAGGTTTTTACCCAACTGAATATGAATACAGCAGCCACTGTAAAGACAGTGTGCTAAGAATATTATAAAGTTCCTGACTTAAAGCTCTATTTTTATTTTGCATGTTCTGAAAAGTATTACAAACTTATGGAGCAGTTCTTATTGCAAAATTCAAGACAGAAGAAATACCTGTAGTTGATCTCCTAATTTTTTTTTATAACTAGATGAAGGAAAAATGTTTACAAGATTAACAGTTTCATGTTTTCCAAGCTTGGTCCTACAGACCGCACAAAGATGACCAACAACACACCAGAATGTTGAAACAATACTCAACATTATCCCACAGGAAGGTTTGTTAACCAAATTAATTCAAACTGGTCTAGTGTCACATCAGCAAAAGCTGAAAGTCCAAAGCAGTCAGAAATGAGGCGTTTTTAACATCTTTAAACATGATGTGGGAAAGGGGAAAACAGCAAATTAGTTAGCAAATCTGCTAGACTGGATAGATTTGAAAACGTGGGGGAAAGGTTTTTGGAGACTAAAAATACATGTGCAAGAAAGATGAAAAAAGCAACCTTTAGAATACATGCAATCCATCTGGAGAAAAATAATCCAGAACTACAGCAGATGAGAAAGACAGAAGTGCAGTGATGTGGAGCAAGTCTGAAAAGCAAGAGTGGGAAAAAATGTACAAAATTTTCAATGCACCACATCAGAAAAAAAAAAAAAGACGAAAACAACCATTTTTAATGGTGTAAGTAAAGCCCTGTAGTTCAAAAAAAGCAGCAAAAAACCAGCCTCTATGGGCTTCTGGTAAGACTATGCTTATCACATTACGTACATTTAAACATATTCCAGAATGAAGGGAGGGGGAAAAAAAAAAAAAGAGAGAAGGTTATTTTGGAGAGAATTCAGAAGAGAAAAAATGAAAGCTGGAAGATTGAATTACAAGAAAAGATTAAGGGAATACAAAGCACTACTTCACTAAATGGTGACTAAGAGCAAGGATGCAAGCATTTGAAGAGTATAATTTTTTTTGAAAGAAGATATGTTTGAAATGGAGATGAAAAAATATAAATGGAAGATTTAGATAGACAGAAGCTTACTGATTTAGCTGGCTACAAAAGAAAGTCTCCAAAAGGAAAGGGCTAGATAGAGGCCCTAGCAACTGGAATTTAGAGCAAATGTAAAAGATGGATCAGAGGAAAGAATCCTACCATAGCTCTTTATGGGAAGAAACACGATTTTGCCTAATAAGACTTTTCAATCTTAACTACTTTTGATATGGTAAAAAGCTGTGGGAAGGGATACTCCCATATCTGGCAGTTAAAGCTATACATTTCACTAGGATCTCAAAATAACTGAAAAAAGACACAGTACCAAGGCAAACTAGATTGTAAAAGGATCTAACAGGATACTGAATCCATGTAATTAGTGATCTTGGCATATCCACACAGCTGTCACCATCCATACCTGCTAACCAAATTGTGCTTTTCTCATAAATACTTTTAAAATTTGTGCCGCTTACTTTAAGAGGCTCATACCAGAATGGCAGCTCAGAACCATGACTGAAAAAGTGCTGATTGGTGCACCAAAGAAAACCCTCCTCATTGATTTTTCTCTTGTATTATAACAGGGAGGAGATGATGATGATAAACAAGAGCTTTATATCAGCTGATAAAGCAGCTCATATAATGCCACATCTGGCATCAGAGAAGATGACCCTTCTCTGAATCATGAGCAGTCTGGAGTGCAACTGTAAGGTGATTCAAAGCCATTTCTCCAAGGGACAAGTCTCTCCCCAGCGCTGAGCCACTAGATGAATGGCTCAGGACAATCTTTGTACACTGGGAATGCTCTGCCAGAAGTAGTAATAATTAGAGGGGCCTTTTAAAAAACAGTAATTTATGGGGATGGGTGTATTAAAAAAAAAAAAAAATAGCAGTTGCTCATGGAATGAATTCCACTATGATCAAATTATTGCACGAAGTGAAAATGTTTGAATAGCTACTTTTCATCTCCTGCAAAAAAAGTCACCTGAACACATGGCTTAAAACTTGAATCCAGCCCAAACTTCAGCTTTAGAAATTACCTAATTGTGCATTATCAACTGGGCATGGCTTTTTTCCATCCCAAACTACCACCAAATACCTGTTGTGCTCTGCTAATGAACAAAGCAAGACACACACATTCTCTTAACTCTATCTGCCAGTTTGCAAAAAGATGAAGGTTCTTCCTCACATACTAAATGAGTCAGTGTGGGTCATAGTTCAGTCCTCCCATAGAGCAGAAGTACAGAAAGACAATTCCATTGCCAAAATAGGCTTGCATATATACAGAAAGGTCATTAATAAGTAGCCAACAAAAGCCTGTTAGGCAAAAGTATGGTAGGCCTCACCTTCAGTCTGAGTATGATAAGAAGCTTGGCTCCTACCCGTCCTGAAACTGCTGGTGGCTGCTGTCCTAGAGATTAGCTGCTTTTAGGAATGTTAGGAAATTATTCTGAAACCTCAGCTGAAAAACTTCCCTCAGCAAAGCCAACTATAGCACCACAAGCAATACATGTATTACCCTAAGAAGTACAAAAGACCTACTAGGTACTGTGAGTGGTATCTGGACTTAGGATACCACACACGACACAATATATGTTCATCAGCATGTTTGAGAGTTAGGTTTCACAATGCTGTTACACTTATGTTCTTCTGCCATGGTTGTATACCTCTGTAATAGATTCCTTCACATGTTTATTATTAAAGTAGGCCTGGAGCATGCTATCTCTTTGCTATTACAATCCAGCAACCACCTACTATGCTAGAGCCAAAATGACACAAAATCCCTGAGGGGAAAAAAACCCACAGAAGCAGAATACACATACACTCACCCTCATAGAGGTTTCTCCACCGTGGGGCTGTTGCAGCCTGAAGACTTGAGCAACCATGTGTTCTGTCGAAGGGTGCAACAGGATACGTCGGGAAGCCAGTCCCACCATGACGTATCTGCCCATTGGAGACAGGCTCACAGAAATGGCATTAGGGCCTATAAAGAGATAAGAAGTTATTTTTCTCACAGGTTGACACCCCTCCCTGTGCCTCATCCTCACAGCTTCTTCAATCCCTTCCAGCATTCCCACAATGTATGGCATACTAAGCTCATCCTCATAAGGAGTAGAGAGGAATGAGACCTGCACAAGAACAAATTCTGTGAGATGCTTCCTTCCAAGTGCCCTCTCACTTAGACAAGGAAGTTCTTTAAGGAATAAAAAGTTATGCTTTAGCAGCTCCCCCATATCAGCACCTTGTACGCCCAGGCCAGACCACAAGCTTCTCCCCAGCTCTATTTGCCGCTAGTTGGAAGGTCAGTAAAGTATTTCCTGTTACTACAATGTTCAGACTCTTGCATTTCTCACTGAAGGCTGAGTTCTGAAGTAACTTCTCACACCCTCACCCACCCTGACTTCTTGTTGCACGCTTACCAAATCGCTTTGTGTAAAGCATCTCGCCCAAGTTGTGGGGTGCCAGAGAATACACAGCCAGTATTCCCTCATCAGGAAAGCCTCTCTGACTGCTGGGAATGAAGGCTGCCAGCAGTTGCCCATCGGCAGAGATATCGCAACTAGCATCATTGTAAATCTTGCAGTTTTGAACAAGCACGTTCACGGAGGCTGCGAAGAAGAAAGGAACAGTGATTAGAGCACTCAGTTTCAACAGAGAATAAAGCAAGTTTTAAACCTAACATTGGAGACCTGACAGTACATGCAAAAGACACTCAAGACATTTAGCTTCCTCCAAAAGTTTATGAAACATTAATACCTTGATTAATGTAAAACTTGCTCCAAAGCAGAGATAAGACACTGCAATGAGCACAGGGAATGAAATCTACTCCCCTCCTGAAACCTCCGGCCAAGAAATAGCAGCAGTTGCACCTTATCAAACCCTTCCTTTGTGGAGCACAACGCCGTCTTTTGTAAAGGACAGCACAGTTGAGACAAGTCCCAAATGGTGACACTCTGACAAACTCCAGCAGTGGTGTCACTGGAAACAGTACACCTTAATTCATCTCCCCTTCTCTTGCGGAGTCCCTAGTTCCAGCTCCTTATTTATCTCCAATAAACAGATGAGAGTAAAATAGCTGATTTTTAGACCAATCTTGGATAAAACAAGTGAGAAAGGGCAGAGACTTCTCCAGCAGTCCTCCACTGAATTACTCCAGTATTTGAGAGACACAGTCAGTGAAGGAACTGTTTAGCAGACAGGGTAGTGAGCAGCAATTCAGAAATATGTAAGCTTTACTTTAATCTCTGCTAATGAGTTGCTGGATGAACTCACACAAATCTTTTCCCCTCCCTGCCCTGCACACACAGCCCGTAAGCTCTTTGAGCTACTGAACTCTATGCACTTGTGCTGTTCCTAGTACAACGAGGTTTCAAAGCCTTTTAGCATCGTCATTACACACAGTTCAACAGTGGCTTGATAAGACAAGGCTGGAGTTATGTTCACTCCCTCAGCTTAACCCAAATGTGCCCTGGTATTTCGCTACAACTGCTGCAATTAGTCCAGGAGGTCTGGAGCTGAAACTGAACACACTGTTTTGGGGATGGGGGAATTTTCAATTCTAGTATTTCCAAACTCAAGGGGATAGAAATATAAAGAAATAGAAATAAAGCCCACATTCGTGACATAGAAGCTTTGCATACTGGACAACTGAACACCTCATCTCACATGCTTGAAGCTATAGCATCACATGGTCAACTTCTACAGTCCAGGAATGCTCTTCTAAGCCTTCAGACCATGCCCAGCCTAGAAGTGGCTTTGATTTGTTCTGCTAAAATTGCAGATGAGAGTATGAAGGCACTTCCTGGGACACATTCCTTACTAGTTTAACAAGAGAACAGCAACGAGAATGCTTTGTGCATACTTCTGAAAGTCTGAAGTTCCAAATCAAATTAAGGCTGTAACTCAATGCTTTAACAAACTACTCTTGTTGCCAGAAGAAACAATCCTTGCCCTTTGTTTCCAACACTTCTGTGGAAAGCAAGCTACATCAGGGAACTGATATGGCTGAGAAATTACTGACTGTTGTCTAGGTCCCTTTTTAGCCAGAAGAGCTTCTCAACCCGGTATGCCACATGGCCACAAAGATGCTTGCAGCAGCAGAAAAAGAAGTTATCACAGGGAAGCTGATAGGACTGCTCCTTCTTCCAGCACTGCTGATTTCAAGTGCTCACTCAACCCCAACTCCAGTTCTTCTGGTCTCAAAGATGTTTTTCCTGGAACTGCTTTCCTACATGGCTGAGTATCAACTTCCACTGTTGCATTTCAGAAACTCCGATGAAAAAGATGAGGATAAAAAGTGGACTATGTAATTACATTCTGTACCAAACCACCTACACCTGTACTCTAAATTTATTCAACCACTTTTTTTCCAGTCTCAAAGCTGCTAAAAACAGTAATTTCCAGCCTAGTATAAACAGAAGGGTGCTGAACAGAAAAAAGGTAAATAATGGTAGTCACTGTCAGTACTGTAATAACAGAATCTAAAATACACAGGGCCCTTCAAAGAACAGACAGTCCAAAAGATGACAAGATCCCTGAGTGCTTGCCATCTGAAGCTAGCTGAACAAAAAGGCAACAGAATAAAGGTTAAAGACTATACTACCTAGTTTTTAAAAAGGTAGAATTAAAATGTGCTACCCTATCCCCCCCCTTTTTTTTTTTTAAATCTAGGCTTCACTCAAGTATTCACTATGTCATCACAAGAGAAGATGGGCATCGACACAAGAACTGCAGTATATGCTGTGAACTAGCCAGAGGATCCATGACAACAGGCTGCACTAGTGTAATCCCAATCCAATTGGGAGGATTCCTGAACAGTCCTGCAGCGACTCATTCCAAACCCAGTGCTATTCATTAGCTTTATCAACGAGCTAGGCTGTTGATAAAGTTGGGTAATTTTATTACAAGAGTATGATCAGACCAGAGAGTGAACTGAAGTACACAGAGATGTAACAGGAGTGAAATGAAAAAATTCTAGAGCGTGTTTATAAATTTCTGCTTTACTTATGAGCTTCTCAGCTGGTAACAAGACAGAAGCAGCTTTGGTGATGATAGCCCAGACTAAGCCATCTACCCCGCCTAACAGTGAAAGATATGGCAATCCTAAACTGCACCAGGGAGCACACTTAAAATTGAAATATCATCAATGCTAATATACAACCTTATGCTGAGACCACATGCAGGATGCCAGGCACAATTTTGGTCAGCCATTTTCAAGAAAGACAGACTAAACCTTAAATGATAAAGAGGTCCAGCAAAGAGCTAGGAATACGACTGGGGAAAATGAAACAAATATTTATGTTTAAAAAAAAAAAAATCTGAGGAAATGGGATTGTATTTACAAAAAAAATACCAGAACATAAGTGCCAAAAAAACATCAGTTCTCTTCACAAATAATGTTGACAGGTAAGTGGGTAAAAGCAGCCATTAAGTTTGGCAATTAGAAGATTTCTACCGGAAAAGCAAGATCCTACAATAGTCTTTCAACAGAACTGAAAGGGGCAAAGAATTTAACAAATTTTAAGACAGAATAAGAGGAACTGCAGGATGTGCTTGCCTAAACCAGCAGGGAGCCAGACTTGGTAGCTAAGGGGGTCCTTTCTCATCGATTCCGTCATCGTTGTAATCTAATCAGCAGTGATATAAGAAATGGAAAAAAAAGGGGACGGAATGGGAACTTATCAGACAGGTGACTACTGGGACTCTCCCAGACAAACCCAAATTAACTACTTAAGAGACACAAGCAAGAAGGCCAGTAACAGAGCAAAACTGCACATAACACAAGGAAAGTATTTACCAGAGATACAACTAGGAAACACACACACAACTTTGATTATTATAAGAGGAAAATATAGTCCAGTCCCTTCCTTCAGGGTCTAAGAACTATCTCTCTCATTCCTATTCTGCTAGTATTTAAGGTTTTGTGCTGCATCTCTGAGCTCAGGATGAAGTTCCCATGAGGTAGCCATGGTTTCTCTACAACGTTAACTACTGTCATGTGATGCTCAATATTGGAAGTAGTAAGATTGTAAAATTGCTTCATCAGACCAAAGGTATGGGTGTCATTTAGCCCAGGGACCATTCTATACCAAGGAATTCCTGGTGCTTTTCAAAGGGGTTGTCATGGTTTAACTACGGCTAGCAAAATACCACGAAGCTGCTCTCACAGATTCCCCCTACTCTCCCTCCAGCAGAGGGGGAGAATTGGAGCGAAGAGGACAAGGAACCTCATAAAATTGAGAGAAGAACTATTTACTAATTAAATCTAAATTAATATATACAAATACTACTAAGTAATTAAAACAATAAAAAATAAAACATATGATACAATATGGTACAATTACGATACAGCTGCTCACCACTCACTGATCAATGCACAACCAGGTGCTGAGTAGTGAGAGTCAGAGCCAGAGAGCCCGAGAGCGATCGTAGCAGATTCCAAGCGAACCCTACAAGCGATAGCACGACCGGGAAAACTAAACAAACCCACCAATTCCCTTATGAATGAGCCAGCACAGGAGTAGCTAATGCAGGAGTCAGGGAGAAGGTTAGCAAGTGTACAGGAGTGAACAAGAGACAGAGTAAGGGAGAGAGTAATGACTTCTGGACCCCCTCCCCGCCTCTGCCCCCAGCATGACGTACTATGGAATGAAACACTCCCTTAGTCAGCTTGGGTCAGGTGCCTGAACTGTGTGTCCCCTGCACTGCCTGTAGCGAGACAGCGAGAGCTGGGAATGCAGCTGCAGGATCAGAAGCAGAGAAAGACCTTGAATTCTGATAAAGGCATTCCAAGGGCTAAGACCTTATCAGTGCTGCTCTCAGCATCCAGGAACAGCTTCATAGCAGCCACGTTAAAGACAGTTAACTCTTTCCTGACTGAACCCAGCACAGAGGTGCAAGAAGTTTTAGAGGACACAGATAACAATTTCTCTGGGCACAGGCAATGTTTCAATAGCTACAGGAGCAAGGAAGAAAAACAGAGACTATAGAATCCATTTCTTCTCTCAGATTTTAAAGTTTGCGTTTATTTTTTAATCTAATGCAACCTTGGATATTCATAAGAAAAGAATCCTACATCTTTATTTTTGTAAGGTATGGAATATTTGTTTTTCTTTGGTACCATGTACCAGATTCAGGGAGTTGCTGTGGCATACATATCCTCACAGTTCCATGGCTATTTCTTTTCTTTCCAGGTCACTAATCCTTTTCCTCATTTAGCATTTACTATATGTCTTTTTAAAACAATGTTGGATTTGAATCACCAGTCACCAAGAATGTATTTATCATACAGCAAATGTTCAACTCATTTTCTGTCTACATGTTTTTTCCTTTTTCCCCCCACCCCCACCCCTCCTTCAGCACAGCACAGAGTTTTTTGGTGAGCAGTCCACAATGATGGCCAACATGACTGCGTGCCTTGTTCTTTTTAAAGTTTGTTGCATATGGCGTATGCCTCTTAGCAAAACAGATTGTGAGCTCCCCTGCCAGAAGTGAACTAATCTTCCCCCTTGATGTGTGCCTGGAACATAAAACATCACAGATGCAAGTTGTGCTGAACAAGAAAGAGCGCCCTTTATTTCAGTCTTTCAAGATCTGATTCACGCTGACA